TCCTTGCTCGCCTGCAGCTCAGCCTGCAAAGCGTCCAAACGGCACTGCAGCTTGGCCTCCGTCGCCGCCATCTCTGTCAAGCGTTCCGACAGCCTTTCAAAGCTTCGTCCTGTCTCCCTGAACCGCTGAGAGGGTCTGTTAGGGCGTGCACCACGTCCGTTCGGGCCCTTTGGCTGCGGGGGCTCCTCGCCCTCCCTTGGCGTCTTGCTGTTGAGCTCGTCCAAGAGCCGGCCAGCATCGGTCTGCCTCTTGGGAGGCGGCGGCACTACCGTTGACATCTTCGGCGGTGTCTTTGGCACCGCGCTGCCTAGGCTCGGCGCCGGTGCCGGTGCCATTGAAGGCCTGGGACTCACCATCTTCGGAACCACACGGGCAGGCACCATCTTTGGAGGCCACATGCTTCCTGAACCTACCGCTGCTGCTGCTGCTGCTGCTGCTGCCGCTGACAGGCCGAGCTGTGCCAGTGTTGAAGGCAATGAAGCAAAGCTATTGTGTCGGTTTGCACGCGAAGCTCTCTTAGGACCCTCATCGCAATTAGCATTGTCTTGAAGATAAAAAATCGATGTAATCCACGTGCACATAATAACACGACGATCTCAAATTGGAAAGCAGTGAGTAATCATCAGCACTGTTCACTCGCACTCTTGGCGACTGCTTCCCAGGCTTGGAACCCGGCAGAGAGATGAGGCCCGAAGGACTCCAGCAAGCCTGGGCAATTTTCAGTGGCATTAGATTTAATTTAGGCTGACCACGTCTTGCTGGGGGTGGAGGGAGATTCACGTCAAATCTTGTTTTATGGGGCCATGCGCGAGTCTCCAGGCAAGATAATTTGCAATTGGTTCTGCGGAGCTGCACAAGTCCCGCGTTTCATTTCAGGTGCTGTGGAAGCACCTTTTCAGAAAGTCTATATAATTGGTTTACAGACAATGAGATTCTGCCAGCATGTAACTAAATAATCATGCTCAGTTATATTAGTTAGAAGTGGGTTGCTTTTGGTGGCTTCAGCCCTTATGTTGTGGGCCAGGGATCCACATGACTGTTAACGAACCAGGTTTGTCATGTCAGCCCTCGAATCCTTGTAAACCCCTGGCCTTGAACCCCCAAACACCTGAAATCGAAGCCCTGAGCCATTGAAATTCAGTTAGGTACTTCCGCAGCTGGCCGTAGACTCTGAATACACTTAAACCCGAAAGCTCACCCCCGGAAAGCCTCAATCCTAAGGTCACTCAGATTAAGGCGAGGTCTGAGTATCACCCGTGCAACTCAGGCAACCTACCAACCCAAGACTGCTGCCCACGGCGATTTCCGAGGCATAGGCTGTGCAGCGTGTCGCTGGCAGGAGGCCCCGGGAGCCTGGGCCCAGGTAGCTTCGACGCTGCATGTACGGTCATAAGTCAAGATGCAGTCCGACGGTCGCAGTGTTCTAGAATTCGCGGGGCTTTCCTGAAGTCACACAACCCAAGAACGTTTTCTGAGAAACTCCTCATGAATGGCAACGCCCAGGGTAGCAGCAATACCGGGCTGAAGCTAAAAAAACCCATCTGAAATCCTTGGACAGGTGCTTGTGCAGCACCCTTTGCCCGTGGTACTTCTGCAGCACCACTCGAGGCGGGAGACCGGTCTACTCTTAGGGAGCTTGGGCGGGCTACGCTTCTGTTCGGGGTGCAAGTTTGGGGCTTTACCTCAAGGCTGAGGCGGAAGATCGCCTTTGGTTGTTGGGACTTTGGGGCTTGGGTCTAGGGTCGGGGGCTGTTTTGGAGGATCGCCTAATGGGCCTTTAGGCGACCCACCGTACCGTCACCGTCACTGAGTCTTCTGAGGGCCATGCACACACACCACCCGAGTCTGTGCTTCACATTGTGAAGCGCAAACTCCGGTGATCCATGCCTTTTGGCTCAAACTGTTGCTAGCTGGCAAGATATCAGTCAACGGGACCAGCCGAGTCTGTGCTTCACACCACATGGCCAAAGCATGCAAGAAGAAAGGGACTTCCAGAAATCGCGGGCGACGCTCAGGCTCCAGCACGAAGAAGCTTGGCCAGGCGGCCACGCTTGCCGGTGGCCTGTGGGCTGCATGGATCAAGCACCTGCTGGCAACAAGACCGACGTGGATCTACATCCATGCCATTATGTGCCACATGTTCTGTCTCAGGGCTACGGAAGGTTTGGGACTTCGCGCATGCGATTTCGATTGGAGGGGACGCAGTGTTCGCATCAGAGCTCTGAAGCGGCAACCTGAGGCTGGGCCATCAAGAAATCGTTACTGAAAACGTAGAATAAATGAGATAGCTTGCCCCCTGCAGGTCAAGAAAATGATCATGTCATCGTGCCTTCCCATGCTGCGTAGCCTACGCAAGCGAGGCAAGGTGGTCCGCCGCACGAAGCAATGGGGTGCCTGCGGAAGCCGAACAATTACAGATGTTTGGCAATTTCCCAAAGGGAAGGAGTTTCTGTTCCCTAACAGGAAAGGCTCAGGGCCCATGACGAAGGACATTGTGTGCCATAACATCGTGAGAGCTCGAAAGACATTCCGGCCGCCTTCATCCCTTGCAGTGATGCTCGACACCTCCAAGATTCGCAGTCACAGCGCTAGGCACAGGCGAATCAACGACTTCAAGTCATCAGGCTGCTCACCAGAAGTAGCGATGGTGTATGCACGTATTAAACACAAAAAAACCTTTGATGCATACGGCCGCTTAGACCAGGCTCAGTCAGGCAAGGCTCTCCAGCAGAACAAAGTTCTGCAGAAGATGCTGAAAGCTTTGTACCCATCGCCATAACGAAGTTTGCCACAGTTGACTGACTAACTGGTTGCAGTTCTCCTACAATCGTTGCACCGTACAGTTTCCAGGTGCAGTAGTACGATTTGGATTTTCTTCTACAGTTCGCGATTGCTGTTGCTGACTAACAGTGGCAGACCACGCTCTCCGGCGAACTACTGCTCAAAAAGCTACGTCTATCGTTTAGACTTAGAGACTTGCGGCGAGATCTTGTTCAGGACTCCCTCGAAGATGCGCTGGACCACCGTGAGCGTGAAGGCATTGCCCGCCATGCACTTCAGAGTGCGTTCAGAGATTTCCACTCCAGGGGCAAGCCGCAAGTCAGACCACTGAATGCCTTGGGTTGCTAGAATCTCTTTGCACGTTGCAAGGTCTTTCTTGCAGAGCACATAGTAAGAGTTGGCGTGCGAGACAGTGACGGTAGGGAAGCAGTCGAACTTCACTGAGGGCCCATATTGATCGGAGGGTGCCAAGTCCAAAACCCACGGGTCTGTGACTTTCCAACCTGGTGACTTCTTCTTGATAAGTGCCATGCCCTTGGACAAATTGTTCAAGAATGTCTTGCTGAAGTTCTTGAGATTCGCCGTCTGCCCAGGCTTGCGGTGCTCCAAGATGGACTTGAGCGGCGGGGCATCAATGGGCGAAGGCCAGGCTATGGGAACCTTCACAGCAGCCCGATCTAGTGCCAGGGTGGCCACCACGTACACTCGGCGGCGTTTGGCAGGAACTCCCCCATACTCGTGGCTGTCCATGACCTCGCAATTGAACAGTACGGGCTTAGGGAGGCTTTACATCATGTCACAATTTATTAGGGGTTTGCTAGGGGCTTTGTTTGAAACTCTCCTTGTGGCTGATCTGGTAAGCACCACCGCCGATCTTGCCGAGCTCACGGAAGAGGTAGGTTTTCACATCCTCGTAGGTTTTGTTTAGCACGAGCTCAGCCACATTCTCCAACAACACCACATTGGGCAAGAGAGCTCGGACCGTGGACAGGATTGCTTTCAGCACGTCAGACCTGGCGTCGTCGCTGCCCAAGTGCAGGCCTGCGCTTGAGTATGGCTGGCATGGAAAGCCCGCGCAATAGATCAAGTAAGCATTCGGGTGAGCCGATCGCTCTTGCACGAGCGGTGCCAGGGAACGCTTCGTGCAGTCAGTGTAGACAATCTCGGTCTCCGGGTGAAGCTTGCAATACACCTCGCGGTAGCGATCCTCAATCTCACTCGCGAACCATGAACGAAACTTGATTTTGAGGCGACGTAACGCCATGGCCGACACGTCAAGGCCAGAGCAGTCGGAACAGTACCAAACCTTCAAAGCAGCATTGGATGCCACTGCTGGCCGCTTATTGACACATTGCTTCTTGCTCACATCGTCGCGGGGCCCCGCTCCGCATGACACCGCCGCCGCTGGCCTTTTCATGACTTGATGGTGCTGGCGGCTGCGTCTGAAATTCTAACTTGAGCTAAAAATCCAATGATGTGGCTGGCGACTGAGACCACTGAGCACGCCCTCACTCCAAGCTCAACTGCGACATGACTTCACAGCGGAGACATCAGTTAGATCAGAGTTATAACCCCATTTAACCCCATTATAACCCCGGCATAACCATGTTATATCGAGTTATAACTCCGGCTAACTTTATAAAGTTAGCCGGAGTTATAACATAGTTAGCGACACGCTCCAAAAAGTTAAAGTGGAGTTAGGGGGAGTTATTTTTTTTGTGTTTAGGAAGGTAAAAAAGTTAGCCGGTGTTAAGATCGATCGAAATCCGCATCGTTTTAGCTTCCTGGATTACCGTAAGTTGTGCGGAATGTAACATGTTTTGCATGGTTTTAGCAGGGTTTATGTAAATGTAGGAATCCGTGGCATTTTTTGGCTCCCAAGCTGTAAAGTTGTGGCCGCAATGGCGGCCGTTGTGAAGCAACTTCTGGCTTCACAAAACTTTTTGAAGCAGGTTCGACACCTGCAGAACTTCGAGCAGCTACAGCAGAAGCAGCACGTGGTCCTGAAGTCTTTACTGGCGAAGACAGCCACCCTGTCGGCGGACGAGGCGTGCCGCATCTACGATGCACAAGACCGGAACGTGTGGACGGATGCACAAGTGCAGGAGGTGCAGGCAGCGGTCGCGGCGATCCCCTCCAGCGAGGCGTGCATGAAGAAGGGGCAGCTGCAGGACTTTGCGGCATTTGTGCCGTTCTTGAAGAGGAGCCAGTGGCAGGAGCTAGAGGGATGTCGCATGCAAGACCAGGTGAGCGTGAAAGTGTTGAGGTACTTAGCTGAGCTTGGCCTGCGACATCCGACGGAGCCTACTCTGGGCAATGTGCTGATCTTCAGCATCCTGATGCTGGAGATGCCGCTGCCGGATGCCGAGACGTTCCAGACGGAATTTGAAAGTTTCAAGCCGGCAGCTCGGCGCTTGCTTACTGCTCACGGCAACCCGCTGTTTCACTTGCAGATGCTGCCCGAGACTGCGGCTGCGTTGCCGGTTCAAGTGGCCCAGGCTGTGTATGTCAGGGAGGGCCCGGCGAGAGGTAAGGTGAGCATGGAGCAGCTCGGTTTCGCTGCTTCCAAGTTACCGCTTCGGAAGAGCAGTGCACAGCTGAAGAAGCAGCCGGAAAACGCAGGGCAGCTCCTGGGCGCCCTCGTGCAAGGACTGTCGAGTAGCTTGAGTAGCGGGTCGGGGCGGCCACCGGCTTTGCCTGTTGCACAACCGCCCAGAGCGAAGCAGCCGCTGGCAATCCTGGACCGTGAGCCCCTGGCAATCCTGGATCGCGACAGCGAGGCCCCGCCGGCCGTGGAAGCGAAGGTTGCGGAGGAGAAGACCAACGAAGCCCAGGCTTTGGAGGAGCCGGCGGCCGTGGAAACGGCGGAAAGTCACTTCGAGCGGCTTCAGAAAGCTCTGTATGGCGACGAGCCCCAAGCTTCGCGAGGGAAGAAGCGAAAGGCTGAGGCAGAGCCGATGAAGAGACCTGCCGCAGCGAAGCAGCTCCAGAAAGCTCTGCGAGACGACGAGCCAGAAGCTTCGGGAGGGAAGAATCCAGAAGCTGAGGAGGAGCCAGAGCCAATGAAGAGACCTGCCGCAGCGAAGCAGCTCCAGAAAGCTTTGCAAGGCGACGAGCCAGCAGCTTCGGGAGGGAAGAATCCAGAAGCCGAGGAGGAGCCAGAGCCGATGAAGAGACCTGCCGCAGCGAAGCAGCTCCAGAAAGCTTTGCAAGGCGACGAGCCAGAAGCTTCGGGAGGGAAGAATCCAGAAGCTGAGAAAGAGCCAAAGCCGATGAAGAGACCTGCAGCGAAGCAGCCTTCGCCGGCCTTGAAAAGACCTGCTGCGGCCGCGAAGCCACCCGCCGCTCCGTCTGGCAGGGCAGCTGTGCCGGGCATGACCTGGGAGGATCGCATAAGCGCCCGTCCGTCCGGGTGTGCCAAGTGTCGTTACCTGCCAGGATGTACGCCCTCGTGTTTCCGCTGAGTCATCCGAAAAAAATCGCTCGCAGATATCCTTGCATGCAAGAACAGTCGAGACCCTGCAGAGCTGCAAGCTAGAAGCTTCTAAGCCCTACTCCCTGTAGAGACCCTGCTGCACCCCTCAACTGCCGCATCCGCAGCCGTCTGGCTCCGCTTTAGGTGGGCTGGGGGCTTGCCCTGCAACGGGCGAAGGCCCGTCCCGCCTTTTTCCTTGTAATTGTAAATATATTAAAAGATAAATAAATACATAAATAAATAAATAAATATATATATATATATATATATATGAGACCAACAGCTGGCCACGGCCGCAGTGGTCCGCAGGAGCCTGCAGGGGCAGGCTTCGGCCGCCTATGCTGCATCCAGCTCTGCGAGCAGGCTACGGCCGCTGCAGTAGAGCTGGCTTGCAGAAGCTCCTCGCAGCATGCCTGGCTACGGCCGGCACTATAGCCTCCTGCAGCGAGCTGGCTACGGCCGCACCTGCAGGCAGGCTCCTGCAGCGAGCTGGCTACGGCCGCTGCTGCAGGCTGCGACTTGCAGTGGGCTGGCTACGGCCGCCGCTGCAGGCTGCGACGTGCAGTGGGCTGGCTACGGCCGCCGCTGCAGGCTGCGACTTGCAGTAGGCTGGCTACGGCCGCCGCTGCAGGCTGCGGCATGCAGTGGGCTGGCTACGGCCGCCGCTGCAGGCTGCGACGTGCAGTGGGCTGGCTACGGCCGCCGCTGCAAAATCTAAATAATTAAATAATATATATATATATATATATATTATATATATATATATATATATACATATTAACAACCCGCCAAACCCTAGACTCCCCCTAAACCCTTCCTTTGCCTTGCTCGCAGGTGCCCATGGGCGACGACGAGGAGAAAGAAAAGAAAAAAGAAGAGGAGGAGAAGGCGGCTAAGGCCGCCGAAGCCGAGACCTCCTCCGAGGAGGAGGAGGAGGACGAAGAAGAGGAGGAGGAGGAAAAAAAAGAGGAGGTGGAGAAAAAAAAAGAGGCGGCGGAGCGGCCTCGAGCCCCGAGGATACCGGGGCCCTCACAGGTGAGCCGCTGCTCGAGAACCCGCTCTCGCGGCCGGGAGAAGCGGGCGGAAGAGAAAAAAAAAGAAAAGAAGGAAAAGGAAAAAAAAGAAAAAAAAGAAAAAGAGCGGAGCCGCCGCTCCCGCCGAGACCGCAGCCGCAGCGAGCGGAGCCGCGGCAGAGTACGGCTGTGCCGCCGCTCTCCGGAGCCGGCGAGGCCACGTAGCCCCGAAGACGGGCCGAGTGCTTTAGCACTCGCACGGGCGAGGAGGCGGGAGGCGGAGCTGAAGGCTCAGCTGCACGAGCAGCTTCAGAGGGCCTCGCCAAAGAGCTCGCCGGCAGCAGCCGCCCGGGACACGACGAGGGCCTCGCAAAAGAGCTCGCCGGCAGGAGCCCCCCGGGACACGACGGACGCCTCGGAGGCTACAGCGAAGGGCAACCGGGGACGAGGGCGGCGAAACAATGCAGCGAGGACCTACCGCTGCAATCGCTGCCACCAGTACCTGGTGCCGACGGTGGCAGGCTACAGGTCCCATCGTCGCAGCGCCCTGTGCTTGGCCTGGCGAAGATGGGAACTGGGGGCGAGACCCTGGGACACTTGCGTGTCCCGGGGCCAGGCCGACTACGAGGCCTGGTGCAACGGGCACTTCCCCTTCGAGGACTCCGACTGCCCGCCGGACTTGGAGGAGGCGATGCAGACGGCGGCCAATGCAGCACCGGCTTCCTCCGTGGCTTCGAGTCCCAGCGGAAAGCCGCCTGCGAACCGCGGCAGCATCTGGACGGCGCCTCCTCCGCTGCCGGCAGCCTTGCAGAAGCCGGCCTCGAAGCCGAAGCCTGCTCACGTGCAGCCGCCGCCGAGGCCCGTGCAGCAGCAGGAGAAGAAGCCGGCGGCGGCGAAGAAGCTGCGGCGAGGGAGCAGCTCCGACAGTCGCCGCCGGCGACGTAGAAAGCGATCGAAGGCCCGGTCGCAGTCTCCGGTCAAAGACCGGGACAAGGACCCACGGGATCCGGGCGGTGGCGGCGGCGGTGGCGACGGCCCAGGCGGCGGGCCGAGTGCTGCTGCTGCACTGTTTCGGATGGTGTGGCAAGACACCATGAAGCAGCTGCTGCAGCAGCAGTGATCGTGCCACGGCATGCATCCATCCGCTGCCACGGCAGCTGCATGGCGGCAGTGAGGGGGGAGCACGGAAGCCAGTAGCCCTCAGGCAAAACCCCACCAAAGCCTCAGAAGCACAAACCAGCTCCACAAAACCCTAAAGCCTCAAGCACAGCACAGCACAGCTCCTCCCTCCCTTAAGCCAACGAGCCCTTTTGCGACTCGCCGTCCGCTCCAGAAAAAAAAATCCGACTGCCTGGCCTTTAGGGGTTTAGGGTTTAGGGTCTATAGGTTTAGGGCTTCGGGGTTGAGGCTTGTTGGGTTTTCCTTCTAGGGTTTGTGCAGGGTTTCGGGTTGGAAGGGTAGGGTTTGTGCAGGGCTTCTGTAGTAGGGTGTACAGGGATGCCGAACCCTAAACCCCTAACTCCCTAACCATATAGATATAGACCGGTTTATAATAATAACCCTAAACCTGGGGGCCTCTATATCGTAAATTATGCAATCCTCTAGAACCGTATGCAGCCCTATAGAAACCTTGCACCTCTCCTATCGGCCCCAAAGCCCTCAACCCTAAACCGAAAACCTGAAGAGGAGACGTTGCGAAACTTGCCCTGCATATGGCCGCAGCTGCTGGCTCCCTTTTTTGTGTTGGGGCCTGCCGCAGAATGGCGGACTTCTCGCGGAGCGAGCTGTGCGAGCTGCGGAAGCGGCTCATGGAGCCCTGCGATGGCGAGGTGCCTCTGCCGCCGCCGGAGGAGTGGATAGACCACGAGCTGGAGCTGGTGCGTGAGACACTGTATTTCATCATGCAGTTCCGCTCGGTTGGCAATCGGGACGTGCTCGCCAAGTGCATCGGGGTGCTGGCGTGCCTGCGGTCGATGTGGGAGCAGCTGTTCGACGGCTGCCGAAACAAGAACCGCATGTGGAGCGGCTACTCTTTCGTGCCGCGAGATCCCGAGACCGACCTGGAGTCGTGGCTGCGGCAGGTGCCAGCCTTGCAGCTGCGGGATCGAGTGCGAGAGCTTCGCTTGTGCCTAGGCATCCTGCCGCACTACTTCGGCCGCAGACTGGGCACGGAATGGGACCAGAACTTCTCCACGGCGAGTCTTGAGGCCGCCAATGTGCTGCAGAGACTGCAAGAGCAGCCTGCTTTAAAGGAGCTGCGAGCCGAAGTCTTGCATGAAATGGACTAGCAGCTGCTGCTTTCGGTCCGGGCCCAGGTAGCGGTGCAGACGGGTGCGACTGTGAGCACCGAGCGGGTCAAGCCGGCCCCTAAAAGAGTCCGACAAAAGCTTCCGGACCAGTGAGAGACTACAGAAGTCAAACAGCTCTGAGCGGCTCCTGCCGAGTCCTAAAAGACTCCGAGAAAGGCTTCCGGACCAGTGAAAGACTAGCGAAGTCAAAATGAAGTCGGAGCCCCTGCAGGCAGGCTTAAGAACCTCCCGACTTCAGTTGAAGTCGGCACCTCCCGGATGCCTTCCTGTAGAGAAGTCCTGGTGAAGTTTGTAACCCCTCATAGGGACTGTGCAGCCAGGATCCCTGGCAGGGCCCTGACTTCAATTGAAGTCGGGACCTCCGGAACCCTAAACTGTAGCGAAGTCGAATCGAAGTCAGAATGAAGTCGAGCCCTGCCCTGAACCCTGGAATCCGGCATAGGGGTCTAAATTCGGGAGAGTAGGCTTTTCAGGGTTTGAGGGTTCCGCAGACTCGCAGAAAGCCTCCTGCTTTGCTGCAGCTTCTGGCTCGAGAGCCTTCGTGCAAGTTCGCCTCCAAGCCCTTCTAACCCCGCCTGCCTGACATGGCGCTCGAGACTCAACCGACCCAGCTTGTGGCTGCCCCTTCCCAGGAAGCACCGGCAGCCGAGACGGAGGAGCTGCAGTCGCAGCAGTCTCGTGCCGGAGCAAACCTGGAAGAGCCCACCAAAGAGGTCCAGACCTGCAAAGAGTGCAAGCAGGAGTACGCTGTCGAGGAGGACGACAAGCAGGTCTGCAAGCACTGCAGAAACCTGAAGCTGCGGCTGTGGCGCCGGCTCGGTGCCTGGTCGACCTTCAACTCCCTCAGCGACACCGAAAGGGAGCGGTTCTTTGTGAAGACGCAGGGCACGTCCTGCTGGCGGACAATCCAGTCTCAGCTCGTCGAAACCTTGACTCGCCAGCGAGTCTCGGAGACTCGCAGCGAGACGGGCGGCTCCTACCTTCCTGCCTCGGTGCTGCTGACTCAAGGGTACACACAGGACGTGATCGACGCCTGCAGCGACACGGAGGAGAACCCCGCCTTGGGCGGCACGACGTACTGCCTGAAGGTCCACTCCGAGTACTGTGTCGAGACGGAGAAGACCGTCCGCGAGGAGCTCTTGAACCGGGTGAAGCAGGTGTGTGCTGGCAAGCAGGTGCCCAAGGAGTGGGACATGCAGCGGCCGGAAAAGCCGGGCAAGAACGAGAAGCCGGACCGTACGGAGGAGAAGGAAGACAAGCAGAAGGCCAAGTTCCGGAAGGTCGCTCTGGCCCTGGCCAAGTCGGCCCTGCCTCAAGTGAGTGCTGCCTGGTGCAGCCTGCAGACGGCGGTGTCGGGGGCGGGCCTGCCGGCAGACCTGGAGGAGGCAAAGAAGGGCGAGTTGCTCGGGATGCTGCGGAAGCTCGGGGAGTGGAAGAACGCCTGTGAGCACACCCTGGCGAACAAAGAGAACTTGCAGGACCTGCCGGTGCTGCCCTTCCGCAAGGACGAGGTGAAGCCCACCTGCAAGGCTGCAGCGGAGCAGCTGAAGGACGTGAAGCTTTGCAGGGCCGCGGCCGCCAAGCTGAAGCGGGAGAGCAAGGCTGCTGAGAAGGCCAAGCAGGCCGCGGCGCCGGCAGGCGAGCCCAAGGCAAAGCGCCCCCGCACGGCCGCGAAGAGGGGTGCGTGAGCGAGCCAGAAGCCGTACAGTATTAATTATGTGCATGTATCTGCAGCCTTGAGCTGCCCGGCTGCTTCTGCATCCGGATATAATATTTATAAGAATGAACAACAACAGCGAGAGCTTTTGAGTCTGTAGTTTTTTAGAGTAGTTTTTTGCACCGGCGACCATGCAGGTGTGTGTATGTAGATACGTAATCATGCATGCAGCAGAGAAGGGTTCTTGAGAGTGTTGCTTGCAGACAGTCACTGCAGGTGTCGCCGGTAAACCGCACAGCTGCATGCTCGTTCTCCTTCGGGAGGGCCATACAATATAATTCGGTGTTGCTGACACTCGATCGCTCCGCCACTCCTGCGTTTAGAAAAAAATCCACGTTGCTAGTCGCAGTGCTGCCTTGCCCGCCCTGGAAGCTTTCGCAAAATCCTCAACCACGGCATGTTGTTGCTGTTTTGCTCAAGCCGTGCTCTCCTCCGCCTGTAGTGGGGGGACAGCATGCCAAAGCGACGGAAGAAGGAGCCGGAGGCGGTCACTCGCTTGGACGAGCGGGGAGTCCACGTCTTCAAAGGTCCCGGACAGCAGGTGGAAAGCTTCCGAGACCTGCGCAGCGCCTTCCATGCCGGGAAGCCGCTGCCTGCTGAGGCGGCCGCAGAAGCAGGGGCGGGGAGCAGCAGCAGCTTAACTGCAGACGCTCCTGCGGTTGAACAGGTGCTGGCAGAAGACCGGCCTACTCTTGCAGAAGCCACGGAAGAGGCCCCGGCTCGGACACCCTCTGCAAACCGCAAGCGGCCGCACACGGACACCGCTCTTGACTTCCTGGCGCCGTGCACCGAGACTCTCCGAACCCTGGTCGGAGCCGGGTCCTTTTCGGCAGCGGATCGGCAGGAAGCCGAGGAGCTGCTCGCTGCCGCGAGTGCAATCATGTCGGCGGAGCTCGTCGACGGCAAGGAGAAGCAGGATTGGCCGGAAATCTTGCGATTGCACACTGCCGCGACCGACTTGATGGCTCGGCTGCAGGACAAGCATCAGACGGCCGAGGCCACACAACGGACGCCGCAGAGCCTGATAGGCAGCCCCTGGCCGGCGACCAGTCCGCCCAGTCGTCTTCTTTCGGCGGATCTTTTTGCCTCGCCGCAGACCCTGCCTCCGACGCCTCTGCCGAAGCAGGAGAAGAAAAGAAGGACTCTGAGCCCCGACAAAGAGTAGGTGCATGTTTTATACATGCAGATCTCTGAAATGTGTCGTGAGTTTTGCAGGGGTCTTTATAGGGCCCGGTGCTGCTGCTGCGAAAGACGCGGGTCTCGCTGAGGAGCTCTCACATCCGCTGTGAGTATGCCGGTATGGAAAACAAAGAGCTCCAGCACGTTTCCATGTACATGCAAGGACTTCTGTGCCGAAGCCGCCTTTCTCGTTCCGCACGTGGACATTTGCCGCGAGGCTCAGAGCAATAGGCCGTGCACGACGGAGTCCAGCCTCACAGTCCTGCCGTGCAACACCCTAAACCTTACAAGTCCTAAACAGAAAAACCACAGGCCATCCACGAAGGAGTCAAGCCTCATAGTCCTGCCCTGCAGCACCCTAAACCTTGCAAGTCCTAAAGAAAAACCACAGGCCAGCCAGCCTCACAGTCCTGCCGTGCAGCACCCTAAACCTTGCAAGTCCTAAAAGAAAAGCCACAGACCATCCACGAAGGAAACCAGACTCACAGTCCTGCCGTGCAGCACCCTAAACCTGGCAACTCCTAAACAGGCAGACACAGACCTCGTAGTGAAACAGTTGTAGCAGCTTCTTAGGCCTCCTGGCCATGTCGGGTCCCACGAAAAGAAAAGCAGGAGTCCTTGACCTGCCCACGGCACGAGAGCAGCTCAAAGACTTGCCAAGCCTTACGCCAAGGCTGCTGCAGCAGGTGCTCGCCCGACTGACGGGTTCGGAGGGGAGCAGAAAGCAAGCCGTGCTTCTGAAGGCCGAGCGGCAGCTGTTGTCCTTGCTTCCCCTTCCACTTGCAGGCGAGAAAAGGTCCGTGCAGCTCCCTGTTGTCCAGCTTGACCGGCTGGTGCAGGAGAAGTGCCGAGCTTGTCCTTCTTTTGGAGACCTCCTGAGTGAGGCCGTGCTGCAGGCGGGAACTGCGGGCATGAATGCGGTTCTCTACGTGGACGAAGCAGTGCCGGGGAACGTCCTCAGACCGGACAACCTGCGGCGGTCCTACTTAGTCTACGTGACTTGGATGGACCTGCAGCGAGCTTGCACGTCCGAGTTCGCCTGGTGCACGGTCGCCTGCATCCGGCAGAGTCTCCTCAACCAGGTTCAGGGAGGCCTGCCGGCGGTCATAGCTGCGATCCTGGACATGCTGCAAAGCAGTGTGTTCGAGGGTTTCGCTGTGGAGGGGTCTTTAGGCCCGGTGCTGCTGCGAACGACACGGGTCTCGCTGCTGGCTGACGAGCCGGCACTCACATCCGCTGTGAGTGCGAAATCGCATGCCGGTATGAGGCCGTGTTTAAGGTGCCGCAATGCTATCGCTATCAAGCATGGCGAAAGAGCAGACTTCGTGGATATATCATGTCACGACTTCAATGCCTTTCTGCCACAAACGAAGCAGCAGGTTAGCGACTACATGCGGCTCCTCTCCGGCATCAGGGTGAAATCCAAGCTTGAGGAGTCCCAAAAACTTTTGGGTTGGATATATAACCCCGACAGCATCGTTTGCCGAGACTCCTGTTTGCTGACGGTGGAAGGCTGTCTTTTCGATGCGATGCACTGCCTCTGGTGCAATGGCATCGTAGGACAAGAGGTCAGCCTCTTCCTCCGTGCTGCGAAAGACAGCATCGGCTTAAAGCAGCATCAGGTTGCTGCTTTGGGAGATCTGCCTTGGAAACCAGGTGTTGGCGGCCGCTCCAAGGCAGGGCCCCTTCTCGATGCCAAGCTGTTGACCTTCGACTCAGACTACAGAGGGGATTCGAGCCAGACCATGTCGCTGCTGCCCCTCCTGACGTATTTCGCCAGGATGGTTTTGCTGGAAAAGGGAGTGCCTGTTGCGGCAGTGGAAAGCCTTACCCGGCTATGCCTGATTTGCAATCTCGTGAAGCTTTGCAAATTGGAGGCTCGGCCCGAGCTTTGCTCCAAACTTCTGGAGCTGCAGCAGCAGCACCTGCAGGGCTTCAAAAAGTACTACGGGCAAGACCAGGTCCGGCCCAAGCACCACTACAGCCTTCACTTGGGCGAACAAACTAAAGCAATGCGAAGGATGCTGGACTGTTTTGTTTGTGAAAGGAAAAACAAAACCTTCAAAGAGCAAGCTCGCAACCACAGCAACTTCGAAGGCACGACCTTCGAAAGCTCGGTGCTGTTGCGCCTCCTCAAGGTGGATACCCAAGCTTCCGTCGGGTATGGCCTCTCGCCAAGGCTCGCTCCACCGATCCGGGCAGATCCACTGCTGCAGCAGCACCTCGACTGCTCAGACCTGCGCTGCAGCTCTGCAGTGCTCGTCAAAGGAGGAGAGCTCACCGAGGGCTTCTACGTCTTGACGGCCGAGTTGGCTCTGCACGTGGATGCTTTTGTCCAGCGAGGCCAAAGCGACTTTCTGGCTCTGGCTAGAACCTTGTCCAGAACGGATGCGGCCGTCGCTCCGCTGGATTGCACCTACAGCAAGTGGAGGTTCAATGCCTCGGCCCCTGTGCTGGCCTACCTCAGTGACGTTTGCAACGTTTCTCGGCCTTGTTGGAGTCTCGCCGAAGGTGAGTTCGTGACCCTTCTGCACTGAGACTGCAAAAAAGATGCCCGCAGAGTTTTTAGGGTTTAGGGTTTCAGGCTTCATCTTCAGGAATTTGGGAGGGTTTTGCTTCGATTATCTTAAATGTCGCTATAATTCAGTTGTTTTGCTCACCGTCACCCACTTTACGTAAGTCACTAAATCAAGCCAATTCAAGCTGCACCATCCCTTTTGCTTAAACAGCCCTAAAAAAGTTACACCATAGTTAAACCGAGTTAGCCCGTAACTATGTTATAACCCCGATCTAACTGATGTCTCCGCTGTGTTGAAACACATGTCTGTGCGAGCACATGTTGTGGCGCTGTCTGAAGGTTCCCGCTCGCGCGGATGGTAACCTGATGGCCGCTCCACGGCCACTGATCCGCTGAGTAGTGGCTCTGAACCATGCTTGCCTGTTCAAATCGCATTTCATGCGTTTTGACTACTTAATTATGCCACGACTGCAGAGCACACTTCTCGCGCAGGTAGGCTAAAATTTCGGAACCTCTCCAGTTACGTCTGGCGAGCGTTCCTCCGGCTCAGGCGTTCTCGGATCTAGCCTTGCTTTCGCATGGCCTCTTGGGTCTTGCTCAGGAGCGCCTCACGGTCCCCACTCTCGCCACCGCCCTGCTCTGTGCCGGATTCCTCGGCAGTGCAGAGCTCATTGCCATTGCCACCAGCTTTGCCAGGAGTCTCGCCAGTGCCGACACTCGGAGTTGGCGGAGTCGTCTCACTACCGCCCTGGCCGCGGCCACGCCCGCGGCCACCGCGAGTGCCTCTGCCACGTCCACCGCGGCCGCCGCCGGGGTTGTTCTTGTCCTCGGTGCTGTTCTCGCCGCTTTGCTGTTGCACGTCCTTGGCGAAAGCTGGGTCGTACAGCTTCGTGTCGCTGCTGTCCACCATACCACACAGAACCCTTGAAGCAAGCTTGTCCATGATGGCCTGCTTGTGCTGCTCTGTGAACACTACGCCGGTGTAGCTGATCCTGTTCTTGATGCAGTAGTACGCCCAATGGCCCGAGCCTGGCGTAAGATCGATCACTGCGACCGGGCGCAGGCTGTGGGCCAGCTCAGCCGACACCAGTTCTGCACACTCGTGGTAGAAGCATGGCACGAGGTCAGTTGGACGAGTCCGTGCTTTCTTCTTGGCTGCTCCGTCCTGCTGCTGAGCACCGTCACCATCATCGTCTCCTTGATCCAACTCCACTGGCAGCCGTCCGCCAGGAAGTGGGAGGTTGTCTGAGCCGAAAATGTCCTTCTTAGAGGCGGCAGTGACTTGCCAGACTTTGGCGCTGTCGCTCCATTCCGGTTTTGCAAACGGGCCCAGCACGTTGCCGCGGGTGTTGCCCGCGAAGTGCAAACGGTTCTGAATCTTGAAGCTGACGGCATTGTTCAGTGTGATGAAAGACGCCGTCTCTGTGAGCTGCAGCGGGCACTTGCTCGCTCTCTCCATCCGCTGCTCGATGGAGTCATGGGTGTAGAAGATGGTCTGGTTAACCTGCTGGTATCTTTTTGACGGGAGCAGCTTGCAGACCGTTGACTCCACCCAGGAAGCGACATTACCGCCTCCCTTTCCCCCGTCCAGCACCACGAGGACATCGCCATCATCAAGATCTCCGTCAGGCCGCGATGCTAGCATGGCATTGAGAAGGCGCCGCAGCTGGGCCGGGCGAGTTGGGCCCATGCGATAGCGGCCTTGGCTACCGCTTTCGCAACACAATTTGACATCCAACACAATCGCAACCCAGGCTTTCGTCTCTGGGTTCCCTCTGGCTTGAGCGGCCATTGAGTTCTTCAGCTCCTTCCCCACTTGTCCTTCGTCAGCGGCATTGTCGACGATGAAGGTGGATTGTGCTTGGACTTTTCGCTGGGCCATGCGCACCCCGCTCTGAATGCGCAGCATCACCTCGGAACCTTTCTCCGTCTCCGTGGACTCGTACATGATCTTCTCGGCCTCGGAGAGGTTGGCAACGGCAGCGTCGTCCAGAACCTTCGCGGCCTCAGTCCCGGCCTGCTGATCCGCACCGCATTCCTCAGCCGTAGTGTTCGTCGAGTTCTCGGTTTCGTAGGCCGTTGTGACTCGGGACATGAAAGACCTGAGCTCTAATACTATTATTATTGTAGTCCCATTTTACTTGGCCTTTATTATCATTGTGAACTCAAAATAAAATTAACCAGAACCAGGGGCCGGATTTCAGCATGATTGAGCGTATCCTCCGCGCTGCGGCGTGCCGTGATGTTTTGCTTCAGGATCCCATCAAACCGGTAGCCGTAGATGATGTTCTCCAGCAGGAGCAGGAAGTTGTCCGCGCTGGACGGCCAACTTCCTCGTTGCTGGTAACCGCCGTTAACAGGCTTGTCGTCGATGTAGCCCAGCTCGGACCGGAAGCTTTCCATGCAGCTCGCCAATCGTCGGATCTCCGAGCGGATGGCCTCGCTCCACGTTGCAAACTTCAAGTCCATCTCCCTCAGAAGGTAGTCCCTCAGTGTGCGCTTGAAGAGAAACAGCCGAACAAGAGAAACCTGGTCAGGTCCCTCTTTGAGGCTGCGGATCGGCACACTGTCACGCCCATCCACCCTTTGCCACCAATCCATCAGCATTGTGAAAGCCCATTGCTGAAGGTTCTCCTTTTTGTCGCATTGCACAACGACCTCGCGAATCTTATACACTGAGTCAAGAGGACAAACATCAAGCTGCTCCATGGTTTGCAAGATGTTGCGAACGGCCGGAAAGGAGAGGCAGGAGCGGTGGATCATCATCGCCACCTCGATGTACGTGGCTTTGACAGGCTCTGTCTTTTTCGCGTACTTGACGGTGTCGTAAAGGCTTGCAAGGCTGGACTTTGACAATTTCTTGTTCTCGCTGGCCTCCATTTGTCGTTTAAACTCTACGCATTCGTAGATGCGCATGAGCGGAGTTACCTCCGTGTTGTCCCTCAGAACGCCCAAGTCCTCTCGCGCCTGAACGACCGTCTTAAACACCTGCTCCACAAAAGAGGCGCTGTCTTTGACCTGAACAAGAACGGACTAGCACGGAACACCCGTACCTCACAACTCACTCACAGCAATTTCGAGATGGCCTCGAATGAAAACTCACAGCTCAGCAGAATCTCGTGCCACTCAGCGAGGATCTTGGCAGGTGCCCCTTCATCCACCGCCTTGAAGACTGCGAGGCGGAGAGCATCGCGGAGCTCGGGTGGTTCGGTGCACTGCAGGGCGCCCTTCAACTTGTGCGGCAGCTCGTTCTTCTCCAAGTAGACAACTATCTTGCACGGCATCTTGGCGGGCTTGTCGAAAAAGTGCTCACGGAGGCTCTCAAGCCGAGAGCGATACTTCGGCATATTGGGTTGCAACTCGAAACCAAGATTGGCCCAATACAACGGGCAAGCGCAGGTGTAAGTCTTGCCGGCAGAGAGCTTCTCGGCAGCCTTCGCGGCATCGTAGACGGGCACACCACACTCGTCGGTCGGATCGCCCATCAAGTCACCGAAGTAGTTCTTGATGGCAGCGTCGCATCTGGCCAACTCGGCTTGCAGCTCGGCATTCACAGAAGTATCCGCCGCAGGTGGTGCCGGGGGCACGACGACTATGGCCTTCGCCTTGGCCTTGCCTTTGGCTTTGGCCTTGGCAACCTTTTTTGCCTCAGGCTGCTGCGGATCCTCCTCCGGCTGGCCACGCTTACCCATGATTAGAGACTCGTGAGGGCTCCCAGACCAAACCGCTCGAACCTTGACCGAAAACACCTGCAGGGCAACGTGTTGCAGCTGACAGGTGAAGGAGCAAGCAGGGGCACGCGCGGGGCCACTAATTCGGAGCTGGACGTCCGGCTCCGGATTAGTGACCCTGCGAATGCGCAAATCATTGAAATAACACATGTTGCGATGCACGCCCACCTGTTATTTCAGGACGCTGCGCAATCGCACCTCCACAGATTCGGAGCTGGACGTCCGGCTCCGAAACAGTGGACCTGCGCGGGCGCACGTCCACTATTTCAGCCCGAGATTTTGCTCACTACCATTTGGTTTTCTTAAGGTTTTAATCCACTACTAAGATTCCGCGAATAAAATTCGGAGCTGCCAGGGTTGGTGTGATCGACGATGAGGGCATGATTAGTCAAGTCAGTGTATGAGGCGCTTCCATCCGGACGTCAAGTATAAGGTAGGTTTGTATGAATCCCGGCGAGGCCTCATGAGTTCAACAGAATCAAGACCGCCGTGCGCCCCTGGTTCTGCTCCCCACAAATCAAAACAAGGGAACCAGCCCCTAGAATCAGGACGCGGCAGCAAACCTGAAATCTCATTAGGTAAGCAACTTGAACCTTAGACTTAAACCTATCATCCCAGTCACTTAGCTATGGTACTTCTGCAGCACCAGAATCAGAACGGTACTTGGACAGCACCGTCTCATTGAAATCTGATTAAGCAAGACCTTGGCACACTCAGCCTCAGACCACGCGACTGAATGAATGAAATGATCTGGCACCATGCTTATAGCACCTGCACCACAGCAGCCTAGACCGCTACCTCAACTGTTAACCTGCCAAGCAATGCCCACATCACCAGCCTTCCAGCGCTTCTGCTCCCGCTGTCACCTGCGATCGTCTTAGTCGGTGGTTCATTGGTTGGCTTGGATGCCCGTGATGGTTCAAACATACATTTCAATTTCCAACCAGCAGGATCCTTGCACACGCGAAACATGTAAGACTTTGCCCCTAAGCCGGAACCCTTCCACGGTGTCTCGCTTCCAACTGTGGCAAGGTTGGGGGGTCTTTCAGTGGGTTCTGTCGGGGCAGGTGAGCGAGCATCAGTGGTCCTTTGGGGACGTGTTCTTTTGGGCTTCGATCTATACCTTAAAAGACCGGAGGGCTTGAGGCCCAAATAAGCGAACATTATGACCATCAGTGGGTTCTTCCGCGGCAGGTGAGCGAGCATCAGTGCTCCTTTGGGGGCGTGTTCTTTTGGGCTTCGATCTATACCTTAAAAGAACGGAGGGCTTGAGGCCCAAATAAGCGAACATTATGACCATCAGCGGGTTCTTCCGCGGCAGGTGAGCATCAGTGGTCCTTTGAGCGCGTGTTCTTTTGGGCTCCGAAAAGGCTTCGAAAAGAACCTTATCTACACATCAAAAGAACAGAGGGTTTGAGGCCCAAACAAGTGAGCATTGAATTAACGGCCATGCTTGGTTACTGTTCGACCAACTGGCTACCATCACACCGAGGACACGCACCATTTTCAAGCTCACACGCAAAGCTTCGCCATTGCATCGTGTCCCCGACAATGACACTGTCACACTCTTGTGGGTGACTTCCCGGCCCTGTTTACCCGTGCGTCTTCATAGAAGCTTGTATGTATATATATATATATATATATATAGATACACCTCTCTATCATTTCTCTCTCTCTCTCTCTCTCTCTCTCTCTCTGTCTCCTCTGTCTCTCTCTTTCCCATAGCAAGATCGCAGTATTACACCTATTGTGCCGTGAACCCAAGAACAAGCAGGGCATGCTGCTGCAGCAGGCTTCCATGAACGTTGGGCACAACCCCAGAGTCGCCTCAAGCAGAATTTCGAGGACGCGGATTCAATGATTTAAGTTGGACACACTAAAAACTGAACTACTCTGGACGAATCGGGGGTCCTGCCAACGTCAGCAAGTTGAAAAGTTGAAACCCCTCTGTGGCACTTTCAGTCACATGCTCCTGTCAAGGTTCTCGTCGGATCCACGTGCAGGACGAAGTCTAAAGCTTCTGCACAATTGAACTTCTGCCGAACACCGCTCCAGACCTGCGACAACCCATCAGCGTCAAAGAGGTGTCACACGAAACTTAAACGACGAGCGCGGCAAAACGAATGCTGCCCCCGGGCCTCTTGGCCCTTATCTGCATCGACACATAGAAGAATGCACTTGTGGATATCCTTGACGCTGCGCGCGCAGAAATGGGCTTGATCTCGCGCGAGCTTCCATTTGCTGCCGGGCGCTCCCGACCTTTATTGATTCTAGGCGGCCCAGTTCAGTACCAGCATTTACAACATGCGCCAGAATCTCATCTACTGATTATATACTTTGTATTAGTCTGTCAGAGTCTGGCCTCACTACAATCGTATGCGCGATCCTTGCGTTGGCAGCAGCGAAGGCATCCGTCAACCAAATAAGTCGTTGAGATGTGATGGCATTCTTGAAGCTCAGGATTGGTCCTAGTGAATCAACCCGTCAGCTCGGGCTTGAATTTCAAATCGACGTCTGGGGTCTGGGATGATTTACTACTATTTAATTGCGTAGATATCAACCATCTTGGGACTTGGACAGAGGGAATGTGATGAGTTGTCCTCGTCCAGTCGTGAGGAAAGCCTTGCTGATAATGGACCCTCCGCACAATGCCACGTTCCAGTGCAGCAAACGGTTGCTGACGGTAGCATCTTGCTCAATGAAGAACCGCGCGTCCTTTCATAGGTTTAAAGAACAGAAATTAGAATACACTGGGAAATCAATCATCTTCATAACTGTGGGAAAGGCTTTCGTGCACTTTCGTCCTCCAGGGCCACGACAACAGCATGTTTCGTCTGAAGAGCTCGTTGGATGTCTGCCGAATCTCGCAAGGCTTCCGACACGTGCACGGGGGCTGCTTCCAAGTCTGGCAAAGTCGGCGGAGCCGCCAGGGCATTCTTCCTTGCACGGTCCTTGACGTAGTCTGAATCCGTTTTCGCCTTCTTTTGCAATCCGTCCAGCACCAGCTGCAAGTCGTCCATGCCCAAGGAGTCTAACAAGTCAGCGCCCCGACCAGCGCGGACTTCCTCCACCATGCGTTTGACACCCTTCGCCTGAAAGGGTGTTTTCTGATAGCTTAACTTAAGGTCACAGTTGACTGACATCACATCGACAGGCAATATTATTGATACCGTTGGGAATCAAAGTCACGCAGAGAATCCCGAATCAAGCCCGCAGCCTTCAAGTGCTGAATTTCTCGATCATGTCCAGGCGTTCGGATTTCAGCAGGAATGTCCACAAGACTCTCCGGCTCAGGGACGCTTCCGGCTGAGCGACAGGAAACCTGTTCATGTCGGTGACGCAACCAGCCAGCCATGGAAGGCTTGGCACGTCCTTCAGGCTCGTTGCGCGGGATTCCTTTGTCCACCCTTCTCACGCGATGCGCCGACCCGGAGATCCTTGTTGGGCCGTAGACCTGCAACCACACAGCGGCCGCCTTCCGGGCAATTGTCTGCAGCTCTGCTGGGGGTATGTCGATGACCTGCGGAGTTAAGCTTTGAAAGACTTCTGATTTCCATTTATGATTTCATGCCCAGCGACTGCAGGGATGTCTGAACGTAGCTCATGTCACTCATGTCCCGCTTCCAAACTAGCTTGGTTCAGATTCTGTTGTACAGCGACCTACCTGCTCATCAGAGAAACAAATGACCACAACCAGGAGAAAGGCATGCTAGTCTGAAAACGTTGAAATGGATTATGCTTCAACATAACCTCAACCCTCAACCTCACTGTCATCCACTTAAACTTGGAGTAACCCTGAAACCATCATGAGTTCAAGGAACCAGGGATGCCTCAAGAACGTCATCGATGTGCCCATCAATCATCAAGTTGTCAGTCAATTGCTGGGAACGGCTAAAAGCTTGCTCCACGCCAGATGTGCTGCCACCCGCTGCCCAGTACCTCACCAGGATGGGTAGAACAGCCGCGACAGAGCTTCGGGTCTGCGGTGTATTCGTGCGGGTGGCCTGCTTCACGGCTGAGATCCAACAGTCTACGCTGTTCAGTTTCTCTTCCGTGGCGGTGCGCCTGGCCACGTACCACAGTCGGCTTGCTTGATCAGCGATATCTGATTGCAGATCAGGCTCTGGCAAACGATACGCCTTCAGAAGCCTAGACAAATCTTTGGAGCGGCAGAAATGGGATCCATTGGGTCGTTCCGTGGCGTCGGACAGGCTGAAAATCGTGAAGGACTGCTGCGTCTCAAAGTGCGGGAATTCAGCCTCCAATGTCCTCTCAGTCAGTGCTACCCAGCCTGACATTCGCGAGAGGCATTTCCCCACTGTCAAAGCTGCAGCGTGATCATCCGTGGGCATGAGTTGCACGGCATCCACACCGCCGCGTGAAGAGGGAATACTGAAGGCCATCGTTCGCTTTCCCAGAATTTTGAGCATGTGACGGGTCAAGCCGGTGTCCAAACAGGCCGGTGCACCACCAGTGAATAAGGACCTGATCCGCGCCCTAAACGAAATCAGCTGACCGGGAAAGTCCTCGACAGGGAACCCCTCGAAGTCTACCAACCTCGTCAGCTCGAGGTTCTCAATGGCACAGTCGCCCAGCATTGCCACCTGAACACACCGCTCATAGTCAAGCCACGTCAAAAACTTGGCTGCAGACTTGCCTGCGTCTTCTGCCTTGCGCTGCAGCGCAATCTTACTCACAGTCTGCAGGAAGGCTGGAAAGAACAAAACCACCCGTGTCAACGGCGCGCCGTGGATTCGAACCTGTGTGCCACGAAATTCAAATTCTTCATGTGATCGTTCACTTGCACACAGCTCAAGTTGGGGTTTTGCCTCCGGATGTTTTCACAAAACCAATCGCGGAAGATATGGGAGTACTGGATCATGCGTACAGGGGAATCCGCCGCGAAGAGGAATGCGTTGGCCACCTCATCGAGAAACGCGTCGGCTTTCCAGTTCCTGCTTAGGTTGCGCCGTGTGGCATGGGGGCGGTCCCTCATCACCACTTTCATTTGAGGCAGTGTCTCCACCATGAGCCCAGAAGTGGTCTGCTCAGCTAGCATGAAACCAGCCCTCAGCTCATCGCTCGCGGAATCGGAAACAAAGGTTTCCATAGAAGCCTTCACTTTTTCAAAGAGCCCCTGATCCATGGGACTTGCAGTGCCGTGCAGCGACTCCAGGTGAGGGATGTTTGTGCACGGAGTACAAAAGTTGCGAATGATCTTCATTGTTGCTTCTGTCAGGGAAACAGAATCGCAGCCGTCGGACAATCGCACGGACCCCATGTGGCCACTAATCTTGCTTCCCGCGGAGCTGGCTGCAGTGAACCGCACAGCCAATCTTCCCTTGCGGGCATCTTGAAAGATAGTGGTGCTGACAAGCAAGGGTTGGCCGTCCAGGCCGTTCTTTGCCCGCCAAAGATCCCGCTTAGATTCGCGGAAGACTTCCGCCAGGCAAAAAGCCATTTTCCTGCACTTCTTTTGCCCACCTACTTCTGGAAGTCCATCCTTGCCAAGGCATTGCTTCCGCATGTGCTGCGCTAACCTTGTGAAGTCCAGCACGGTAGGCGCGCGAACTTCTGAGACGTCCGCATGACTGTCCAACGCACGTTGGTGTAGCTTGCCGCTCTCATGCTTCTCCAGCTTGCGCATTTGCAAAGCATCATATGAGGAAATCTCACCCAATCTCCACGAATCTGGGACTGTGCTTTTCTTGCCAGCTGGCAGCTGCTGACACACAGAACAGCCAACTCGAAAAGGAGCTGCATGAGCTGTTATCCATGGAAACCGATCTTGCAGCTGCTGCCTGTTCCGCTGGAAGTAGCATGCCCCGCATCTAGTAGGATTGGCGCAGTGGCCGTTGCAGTACTCAATACAACCGGCAGATTTCATGGCGGCTTCAGGCAATGATGATGCTCACGACTATTGTTTACCCATGTCTTTCATGCTTGGTTATAACGGCGGCTGCCTGACGAGTAATAGTCTCTCTTGATCAAGTTGTCGTGGCGCGTAGTTTGCCAGCAACTGCTGAGCTTTGCTCTGCTACCTGCCTAACCGGCATGATTGGGGCTTCAGGGTCTCTATTGCTGTGGTTCATCATATTTTTCAACTTGCCCCCCTGGCCAGGGCCGAGCCGCCGCGGCAGATCAGCAAAATCTGACATCATCCCCAGGCCCTGAAAGGACAATAATTGACAATAATGACCATGGCATGAGGAAGTCTGAATCTGAACACTGTTCCTGCAACTTGAACTTGGATAGGGCGCCAACTTTGTTGAGGCAAAATAGGGCTAAGGACAAAAGGCGATGTGCCAGGGCGTCACAAGCGTGGACTCAGTGACGGTGGGTCGCCTAAAGGCCCATTAGGCGATCCCCCAAAACAGCCCCCGACCCTAGACCCAAGCCCCAAAGACCCCTAAACCAAAGGCGATCTCCCGCCTCGAGTGGTTCTGCAGAAGTACCACTGGTAAAGGTGCTGCACAAGCACCTGTCGAAGGACTTCAAATTTCCATTGGCTTTTTAGCTTGAGCTTGGTGTTGCTGCTACACTGGGTGTTGCCATTCATGAGGAATTTCTCAGAAAACGTTCTTGGGTCTTAGTCGAATCCAGAAGGACCTTTCGAAACTTCGCAGCTCAGGTACTTTTGCAGCACCTAATGAAATTAAGTTTAGGTACTTCCGCAGCACCTGGCCTTAGACTGACATCCTGAATCCTGAAACACTGACCAAACCCTAAACCCCAACACCGGAAAGCATCAATCCTAAGGTCACTCACATTAAGACGAGGTTGTGCTGACTGAGTCTGAGTAGCACCCATCTAACTCAGGCAAGCAAACTAACTAACCCTCTGTCCTGGTCAAGTGAGCCACAACCCGAAACTGCTGTCACCATGAAATACCGAGGTGTAGGCCGCTGCTGGCAGGCGGTCCCAGGGCCCTGGGCCCAGCTAGCTTCGACGCTGCATGTACGATCAGAGGTTCTTTAAGACGGCACTGTTCTGGAATTTCGTGGGGCTCTCCTGAAGTCCCAACCGCTCAGGGCTTCGATTTCAAGTGTTTGGGGTTTAGAGGCCAGGGGAACATGACAAACCTGATGTTCCAGGTCGTAAGCACGTTAACAATCATCTGGATCCCTGATCCACAAAACAAGCGCTGCAAGCCCCCAAAAGCAACCCTCTTACAATTCAGTCCTTGTCTGTAAAGGTGCTTCTGCAGCACCTGAAATGAAACGCGGGACTCGTGCAGCTCCGCAGAAGCAATTGCAAATTGCCTTGACTGGAGACTCTTGCAGGGCCCCATAAAACTAGATTTGACATGAAGCTCCCTCCACCCCCTCCGAGAAGTGGTCAGCCTAAATTGAACCTCATGCCATTGAAAATTGCCCAGGCTTGCTGGAGTCCTTCGGACCTCGTCTCTGCTGCCACGTTCCAAGCCTGGGAATCAGTCGTCAAGAGTGCGAGCGAACAGTGCTGAGGATTGCTCATGGCTTTGCAATTTGAGATCGTCGTGTTGTGTGCACGTGGATTGCGTCGCGATTTTTTACCTCCAAGACACTGTTCAATGCAATGAGGGTCCTAAGAGGGCTTCGGGAGCAAACCAACACAATAGCTTTGCTTTGCAGGCAAGACTGACATAGCTCAGCCTGCTAGCGGCAGCAGCGGCAGCAGCAGCAGCAGGCAGCATTGCATAGCAGCGGCAACAGACTAGATAACTAGGTCCAGGTAGGAATCAGGAACCATGATGCCAAAGACGGTGCCTCCCCGTCCGAAGATGCCATCAGTGGCAGCACCGAAGATGCCATCAATGGCAGAACCGCCGAAGATGCCATCAATGGGGCCGCCGCCCCGGAAGAACTGCAGCCGGCCACCTCTTGGATGAGCTCAACATGAAGACGCCGAAGGAGGGCGAGGAGCCTCCTAAAGCAAGGGGCCCTGGCGGACGTGGCGCCCGCCCTGGCAGACCCTCTCAGCGCTTCAGAGAAACAGGTCGTAGCTTTGAACGCATGTCGGACCGCTTGGCCGAGAGTGCGATGACAGAGGCCAGATTGCAGTGCCAAGTGGATGCACTGCAGGCTGAGCTGCAGTCGCAGAAGGAGCAGACGGAGGCCGTGCGTACTGATCTGGGGGCCCAGGTACAGATGGCCACAAAGGAGGCGGAGAGCCTGCGTGGACAGGTGACGGACCTCAAGAAATGGAATGCAGAATGGCAGGAGGCCTACCAGACGAAGCTGTCAAGCCTTCCGGACGCTGGACAGTGGAAGGCCTACTATGAGTCCTCTGAAAAGGCCAGAGGGGAGCTGCAGCAAAGGTTGGAAAAGCTGCAGACCGCTCACGCGGAGGAGACGAAGATGGTCCTGCAGGAAGTGAAGGATGCTGCCAGCTCCCGGCACAGCAGCCTCTGTCGAGACCATCATCGTACCGTGCAGGAGAAGGACAAGCAGCTGACATCGCTGCGAGAGGAGATCTTGCAGAAGGACCAGATCATCGAAGGACTCAAGAAGGCCGATCTTTTTTTGAACTTGGGCCTCGTTCTCTCTTGTCTGTTTGTCTCTGGCGACAGACCGAGAGATTGTGTCCCGATGACAGGTGCCGAAAGTCGCGGAGGCGCAGCCGAAGAAGGAGGCTCCGAGGAAGCCTCGACAGCCGGCCAAGGCCGCCATTGCAGCCGATTTGGTGCTGAGCTACTGAACTAAGACTTGGCAGGCATCCCCGAAGGAGTCTGCCAAGACAAAGCCCATGAATAGTGCTGCGATTGACGAGGCACCTTTCTTATTTCACATTATGAATCTTAGTCTTCCGTTTCTGAAGGCCATGAGAAAAGATGTGAACCTGCAGACCCTGGCCAAGATGGGCACAAAGGCCGGGCTGCGAGGTAGCAGAGTTTCATTTCGGTATGACCGGATAAAACCAATCTGCTTGCCAAGAACTGCAGGATCTTGGAAAGAGATCTTCGGGAGCCGGAAGCAGCCAGGCCTGAAATGAAAATCCAGCTGTTAATCCTTGTGAACTGTTGGCATTGTGCTAGGACCCGCCGCCAGCGATGAAGAGGGCCAAGATCAAGGCTTTCATGTCAAGTTTAAGTCCACTCAGCCATTATTTCCTGGATCAAGCGGTACTTGGAGGACACTCGTCGTCGTGCGGCGATGAGATCGCCGTCGCTGACACCGACGGATGTCCCGGACTTATCGAGAATCAGTCCAGTTCGCTCCGCCGTATGAGCTACAATGAAAAACCGTGGCCAGATTCCGAGCCCGACGAGCCCTGTCAAGTGACAGAGTGAGGCGGCGGTGCAGGGAGTTTTTAAAATCGGCCAGGCTTTTCTTCCAACAACTTCGAAAAGCTGTGTGGGGATACTTATGGTTTGTTACATGTCTTTAGACTTGGAAGAGCCTGCGATCGACTGGGGGCCCGGTAGGCAGCTGTAGGCAACGCCGCCATGGGTGAAGTAAGTGGTTTACCAACTCTACTCCGTACTGTTGGACAATATGAAAGTAAGTAGCAGCAGCCGTAGGTCAAGCAATTAAGGTTGTTCAGTATGTGTGCTTCGTCTCACCCTACTGTTGCGTCTGCCACAGCACAAAAATCCGAAGGAGCGAAGCCCTACACCCGAAGCACCCCTGAGACCTCCACACCCTTAACCTGAGGCTGGACCCTTCTGAGCATTGGACATCTCGATCCGGTCCAATGATTGTGGCGAAGGACCCTCGTCCTCGCCGGTTTTGGGTTTCAGGGCTCTCGGTTTGAGTTCTCTTGAGTCTCTTGTTGTGGTTGTAGGGCTTCGGGCTCAGGATTGTCCCAGCGTGTATCCTGACTTATCTTCGTTTGCTACGGCTGCAGAGGTTTGAGGTTGAAGCGTTACGGTTTCAGGCTTCCAGGTTTCGGATTTAGCTTGTAGCACCTGCGTAGTACCACCGGCCACCCGAACAAAAACCATGCACCCTATGCGTACATAACACCTCAGAACCCTAAACGTGAAACCCAATTTAGTGTGATCTTGAATACATCGGATTTGGGCGCTTTGAGGGGTTATGAAGGTCCAGGGTTCAGGATTTGAATAACTAAGCTAGACCAAGGGTACTTCTGCAGCACCCGAGCGGTACTTAGGCAGCACCGTTTATCCTAAATCCTAAGTCATAATTATATATACATAAAAGGACCCTACGTGAGCAAGGTTAGCTTTAGTTTTAGGGGTACTTTTGCAGCACCCGAGCGGTACTTAGGCAGCACCGTTTATCCTAAGTCCTAAATCCTGAGTCATAATTATACATAAAAGGACCCTACACGAGCAAGCTTACCTTTAGTTCTAGGGTACTTTTGCAGCACCCGAGCGGTACTTAGGCAGCACCGTTTATCCTAAGTCCTAAATCCTGAGTCATAATTAATAATACATAAAAGGACCCTACACGAGCAAGCTTACCTTTAGTTTTAGGGTACTTTTGCAGCACCCGAGCGGTACTTAGGCAGCACCGTTTATCCTAAGTCCTAAATCCTGAGTCATAATTATTCATAAAAGGATCCTACACGAGCAAGCTTACCTTTAGTTTTAGGGTACTTCTGCAGCACCCGGGCGGTACTTAGGCAGCACCGTTTATCTTAAGTCCTAAGTTATTCAACAAAGCGATCTTACGCGAGAAAGGCTAAGTAGCTTTAGTCTTAGTTTAGAGCAGCACCCTTTGTTTAGTTTAACCTATACCTATACTACAATCCTGCATCTTGCGCCGAGCTTAACTTACGTGGTACTTTGTCAGCACCTCTTGAGTGGTACTTTTGCAGCACCAACTTGATAAATTAAACTATCCTAAATGCACTATCAATTTATTCTTATTGGGGCAGTATAGACACTTAGAGTTTAGAAAATCGAGGAGTTTAGGGCTTATAGGTCTAGGTCCTGTAGGTCTCAGGAAGTTCATGAATTTTAGTTAATGGTTCGAGGCATTGCAGACACCGATGCTGAGAAGAAATCCTGATGCAGCGACCGCCAGCTCAGCACAGATGTTTGAAAACAGCTGTCAATTCAATTATTCAATGTGGCCGAACTATTGATTTGATTTTGAACTTCACAATCCACGCACAAACAAACTTGTGATTGTTTTCCAGGCATCATGACATCAACTTTCCCCGGCCCAAAATCAAAAGGTCTGTCCTACAAGATTACCAAAACTTGTTTCAATATTTGAAGGCGACATCATGTCATCAGCCCGAACCTCCCCCAAATTTGGCTCAAAACATCACAGACTCTCCGTTGCCCCCCCCGCGGCCCCTTTAAGAAAACCCAAGATTTTTGCTTAAGCACGGAAGATGCTAAGAGACGTGCTAACTTGAAAATGTGCACAGAACCCCATTCCGACACACATTTTTGCTTCAGCACGGAAGATGCTAAGAGACGTGCTAACTTGAAAATGTGCACAGAACCCCATTCCGACACACATTTTTGCTTCAGCACGGAAGATGCTAAGAGACGTGCTAACTTGAAAATGTGCACAGAACCCCATTCCGACACACATTTTTGCTTCAGCACGGAAGATGCTAAGAGACGTGCTAACTTGAAAATGTGCACAGAACCCCATTCCGACACACATTTTTGCTTCAGCACGGAAGATGCTAAGAGACGTGCTAACTTGAAAATGTGCACAGAACCCCATTCCGACACACATTTTTGCTTAAGAACGGAAGATGCTAAGAGACGTGCTAACTTGAAAATGCGCACAGAACCCCATTCCGACACACATTTTGCTGTAGCACGAATGCTAAGAGACGTGCTAACTTGAAAATGTGCACAGAACCCCATTCCGACACACATTTTTGCTTCAGCACGGAAGATGCTAAGAGACGTGCTAACTTGAAAATGTGCACAGAACCCCATTGATACGAAGATCGTTGCTTAAGCAAGGAAGATGCTAGAGACGTGTACATGAAAAGGCACAGAACCCATTCAGACACACTTGTGCTCAGCACGGAACGATGCTAAGGGAGTGCGACCTTGAAACATGTGAACAGAACCAAATTCGGAACAAACAAATTTTGGCTTCAGCACGGCAGAAGATGCTAATGAGACGTGCTAACTTGAAAATGTGAACAGAACCCATTCGACCACATTTTTGCATTCCCAGCCACGGAAGATGCTAAGAGACGTGCTAACTTGAAAATGTGCACAGAACCCCATTCCGACACACATTTTTGCTTCAGCACGGAAGATGCTAAGAGACGTGCTAACTTGAAAATGTGCACAGAACCCCATTCCGACACACATTTTTTGTTCAGCACGGAAGATGCTAAGAGACGTGTTAACTTGAAAATGTGCACAGAACCCCATTCCGACACACATTTTTGCTTCAGCACGGAAGATGCTAAGAGACG